AGCTGGCGGCCGAGGCGTGCCGAACCGGGGTCACTCACACCAGCCGATGGCACACGGCTGTGCTCGAGCGTTGCGGGCGAGCTGTTGCTGTAGAGCTGCAGACGCACAGGAGTTGGTCGGGAGTCCTGCCGCGTTTTCTGGTGCCCTGGACAGGCCATTGCTTGTGTTGCGGTGGTTGTGGAAGGGCAGAAGGACACCACAGAGCATGGGAGTTGGAGACTGCATGTAGAAGGTTGTAGCAGAACGTCAGAACAGCGGTTCTTTAGCTCTCGTACCTGTACTGACTTCAGCCTTACTCGTAGCATATTTGTTGAACGGTCCGTTGTTTGATAGTATCGGTGTCCAAGAAAGTGGGCTCTTCAGTGGTTGTGCTTTGGGGAAGTACCTGCTCCAGCTGTGTATCAGGAGAAACGTAAGGAAAGCCGATGTCGGGTTGACTGGCGGCGTGGAAGGGCGAGCTTTTTGATACTGGTGAAAGGTACAAAACTCGATTTGAGCTTCTCCAAAATGCTCTGTTCACAGGCAGCCTGCTTCTGCGAAGTGGTACGACCGAAGGGACTACGTCTTTATTGAATTTTGTGTTGAAGACAGCAAAGATGTTAATGTAAATTTTGAAAAATCCAAACTTACATTCAGGTGAGTAACTTGGGCCCGCACAAAGCTGAGAGGCTGGGGGGGTACGGAAAGGCTGCCCTGGTGAGGTGGTGCTTTGCTTAAAGCAGCAAGTTCTGTTCCTGAGGCATGGTTGTTCTTTAAGGCACTTCCTGCTAAACACAATCATTTGTTTTCTCTCAACAGTTGTCTTGGAGGAAGTGATAACTTTAAACATTTAAACGAAATCGACCTTTTTAATAATATTGATCCAAATGTAAGTATCCTCTTGACTCTCCTCTTGCTGTCTGCTTGGTGCTGTATCCTGAAAAGCGCTGTCTGTTCTTGTGGCTGCGTGCAGTGCTGTGGGCAGACCGTTCCTCAGACCGTGAGAGCTGCTTAAACTCAGATCGTGAGAGCATCTCTGGACGGTGTTTTTCAGGACAAGGAATAGGTTGATAACCTGAGACAAATGAGCGCGTTGTAAGCGGTTCCTGGTGAAGTTCATGGCGATTGTACCGACAGATACTTGCTCTTGTCTTTTTCAGGAGTCAAAGCATAAAAGAACAGACAGATCTATCTTGTGTTGTTTACGAAAAGGAGAATCTGGTCAGGCATGGCCACGGTTAACAAAAGAGAGGGCAAAGGTGGGTCTGGGCTCCGTGGTGGGTAGCAGAACCTGTTGCCTTCCCCGGTTTTTAATTTTGTTTAGTATTTGGGTCATCTTTAAGTTACATAGCAGTTAATGGGTCACCTACTGTGCCTCTGGTGAGAGCAGCAGTTCTTACTAGCCTTCCTTTTCTAACAGTAACAGCTTGTTACTGGCTTGTCCTGAAGTAACTCCTTGTGTTGATGTGCAGCTCAACTGGCTCAGTGTGGACTTCAACAACTGGAAAGACTGGGAGGATGACTCAGACGAAGACATGTCCAATTTTGATCGCTTTTCTGAGGTACGGGGAGTACCTGGGGGGGTCTGGGTGTCTTTCTGGGCCGCGTGTAGGCCAGGGCTGCCGGAAGAGTCCTCTTCCTCGGCGTCCCTCGGGCTGCGGCTGCTTTCCTGGCTGCTGGTCTCGGCCGTTTTGCTGAGGCGCAGCCGTTGCCGGCTTCAGCCCATGCTGTGGGCTGTCAGCACGGCAGTGAGACGACTGTCCCGTTGTAAGATGCCAGCACTAACTCAGCGTGCTGGTTGTCTTGCGAGGCAATTCCTTTACATGGTTTTTGCGTGCTCGCCCTGTAATTTCTGCATAGGTGCAGCTGATTCGTCGAAGCTGCTGGTGGCTGTTGGCTGTAACCATTTTAAGCTATTCTTAGATGATTACAGTGCTCCCCTAGCTCATGTAGAGAGGGCAGCTGGCTTCCCCCTGTAATGTGGCTGTTGTCTCTCTGGCACAGATGATGAACAACATGGGTGGAGATGACGACGTAGACTTGCCAGAAGTAGATGGGGCAGATGATGTGAGTACTTTGTTTGCCGTAGGTGCGGGCATCGCTGCTTGCTGCCGTCAAACTTGCATTCCCGCCTCAGCATGTGATGTCATCTGGCGAAAGTCGCCTTCTCCCCACCGGCAGCGGTGCAGAGGGTGGTGGGTGCTGGTGCTTGCCGTGCCCAGACAGCTCGGCGTTGCCCACCTCTGCAGCGGGCGCTGGGCATCGTGGCTCGGGGGGCTCTGGCCACTGAGGCTGAGTGGAGCATGTCTGGTGGAGCCCAGAGTTGTTCGGCGTACGGGCTCTGACGGGGAGCACGCTTGCTGCTGGACTTTGGAACCGGCACCTAGTTTGCTGGGTTAGCAGTGGTAGAGAGAAAAGTCTGCTCCAGTTAATGTTGGTTTTCTTTCTTTCCAGGACTCACCAGACAGTGACGATGAAAGTAAGTTGGTGGTGGTGGTGGTTTCTGCACATGGTTCGGCACTGCAAGGGCTTGCTGGACGCTCCCAGCTGAGCGCGAGCCGCGAGCAGAGCCAGCAGATGTTCTGTCCTATCCGTCTCGCTAATCCCGGCTGCGAGCTAATGCTGGCGCCTGCCCGCACAGCGGGAGACGGCGTAATCTAGCGCCAGGCTTTCCACACTGGCACAAAATGCCTGTGTGACCTCCCCTGCCAGCTGGAGCCCGGAGGAGGCTTCTGCTTGCAGAGGAGCAGCCTGCACGCGGGGCATCGGCGTCTGGGGCTGGCTCTGCCGGGGCAACCCCTGCGCTTGCGGCGGGGGCTTTACCAGGATCTTCCTTGCACAGAGCCGGGGTGAGGTCAGGCCCTGAACTGCCCTGTGCCCACCTTGGCTGGGGCTGGATCTTCCTACTCGTGTCCCTTGTGACGCAGCTGGGCTCCTGGGTGGTGGTTAAAAAACACCCAAACCAAACCCAACCTGCTAATGCTCTTCTCTTTCTCTCTAGAAATGCCAGATCTGGAGTAAGGAAAACTGTTGTCTTCAGGGTTTGGGGAAAGAACTTCATCACAGCATTTCATAATTGAGATAAGAATTCCTGAGTTGATAGCCCGACAGGGAGATCCTGCATCCTTTAACCCATTTTCAGTCCATTTTCAATAGCTTCACTGAGGGTCGGTGTGTACCATTGCACGGGGTGGTCGTAAGCCACGAGAGGCAACAACGTTCTGCATGAGCCCTTCTCCAGACTTCCAAAACAAACCAGCCCCCCCGCCGACTGAGGTGTAGGCAGCCGATACCCCACGGTCGCAATAAAGTTCCCAGAGTCTCCTTGCCTCGTAGCAGATGTAATTACCATGGGAGAGCCCCGAACTCGCACCAAGGGGTAAATGAGCATTGTTTTTGGGGTAAATGAGCATTGTTTTACCCCCTCTGCGGCCCGCAATTCTGTATTTGTACCGGGAACAAGATGGCGGAGCCCCGGCTGCTGGTGCTGCGCGGTGCCAGCGTCGGGGCTCTTCCCCTCTCGTGTCTGCTGAAAAGGAAAC